GGGGCAACCAGGGGCCCTTGGCCGCTGTCCCGGGGCAACCAAGGGCCCACGGCTGCTGTCCCGGGGCAACCAAGGGCCCCCGGCCGTGTCCTGGGTCTCCTCATCCTGACCCAACGGATCGAGACCGCCGTCTGGCGTTGCTGGGTGGTGATGAAGGGCAGCGGAACAGGGCGGCGCGCGAGCGCTCGGGGCGCTGAAGCAAGGCTGCAGCCATCAGCAGATCGGGTCACAACGTGACCAGAGGTTCGGCTCCCTTGGCAAAAGAGCGGCCATTCAATGAAAAACACGTGAGGAGATGATTTTAAAAACGCTTATGCTGCACTTTGCTTGAATCCAGCTTCCATCAAATCACTGGGAAAAGGTAAAATACTTCTTAACATCCCCCTGTTTTGTTTCAGCTTGGGATTTTTATGAGCCTTTTCAAAGGCAAAAGCCTAAAACACCTACTCAGCTGAAAGCCTCTGCTCGGCAGCGCCGAGCCCGGCTTCCCCGCTAACGGGCTTTATTTATTTACCTTGGCTCCTGGGGAGCCGTCCGTGCCGTTCTCTCCCTTGGGACCAGCGCTTCCTTTTTCTCCCTGAAAACAAGCCAATTTCGACAAATGCTACACGGATAGGACAGAGAACAGATTTCTTCAGGTTATCATTTTCTTCCTTTATCTTTACTTTTACAAACACGAGCGAGCAAAGCTCTGCTTCCAGCCTGAAACGCATCAGGTTGCCTAGGTGCAAAAGGGGAGTTTTTGAGACAAAAATGAAGCTTTCAGGGGCAACGCTTTGGCTGCAGGTCCTACATTCAGCCGTAATACACGGATAGGACAGAGAACAGATTTCTTCAGGTTATCATTTTCTTCCTTTATCTTTACTTTTACAAACACGAGCGAGCAAAGCTCTGCTTCCAGCCTGAAACGCATCAGGTTGCCTAGGTGCAAAAGGGGAGTTTTTGAGACAAAAATGAAGCTTTCAGGGGCAACGCTTTGGCTGCAGGTCCTACATTCAGCCGTAACGTCAGCCCCAAAACCAGAGTGTCTGGGGCAGGGTCCCACTCGGGCATCCCCCTGTTTTGTTTCAGCTTGGGATTTTTATGAGCCTTTTCAAAGGCAAAAGCCTAAAACACCTACTCAGCTGAAAGCCTCTGCCTCGGCAGCGCCGAGCCCGGCTTCCCCGCTAACGGGCTTTATTTATTTACCTTGGCTCCTGGGGAGCCGTCCGTGCCGTTCTCTCCCTTGGGACCAGCGCTTCCTTTTTCTCCCTGAAAACAAGCCAATTTCGACAAATGCTACACGGATAGGACAGAGAACAGATTTCTTCAGGTTATCATTTTCTTCCTTTATCTTTACTTTTACAAACACGAGCGAGCAAAGCTCTGCTTCCAGCCTGAAATGCATCAGGTTGCCTAGGTGCAAAAGGGGAGTTTTTGAGACAAAAATGAAGCTTTCAGGGGCAACTCTTTGGCTGCAGGTCATACGTTCAGCCGTAACGTCAGCCCCAAAACCAGAGTGTCTGGGGCAGGCTCCCACGGAGACCCCGCTGCACCCCAGGCTGGGCAGCGCAAACCCACGGCCTGAGCCCCGGCTCCCGGCCACCCCAGCGATGCTCCCCGATTCACTTCTGCAAGAGGCGCCTCTAAATGGAACTCTGCCGCTGCCAAGCTGCGTTGGCAAACCTCCTCCGGGCAGAGGGCTGCGTTACGCTTCTCCTTCTCTTTTCTTTGGTTCTTTCTCCACGTCAGGGGAGAAACGCGCTTCTCAGCCCGCCCCAGCTGTGATGCTGTGCCAAGAGACCGGCCAGCAGGCGACACTGCCAAGCACACCCATCAGATGGACACAGAGCAGAACGTACCTTAGGACCCATAAGTCCTGGCTCCCCAGGGATCCCATCATCACCCTGATGAAATAAAGTACAAAAAGTGAAATACAAAGAGCTTGCCCACCCCTATCATTAGGACCCAACGCATCCTGTGGCACCACTGAGTGCTGCACAGACCTGAGACCCCCTCAGGTTTGCAGGCGGCTGGGGGAAAGCTGCAGCAAGGAGCCCCGGGGGCTCCAGCATGGTCCCCTGTTCCCACCCAGCTCCGCCTCTGCCGCCTCTGCTCCCCGGGCAGGGGACTGACATCTCCCAGAATTGGCTTACAGCAGGCCCTGGGGAAGGTGGTCTCCCACCTTTAACAGAAATTAGGTATTTTAGCCATTTAGGCTTTTTGGGTGCCAAAGGCCTCCTGCAAGCTGCCACCCATCCTCATGGACCCCACCACAAGCCACCAGCATGCCCATCTGCTGGGAGCAAATTTTCTTGTTCCACTTCTCACACTTCGCTGTTCTCCTGGAGTAAAACCACTTCTTAGGTGCTGAAGAGGTTAATTTTATTGGCCAAGTTATGAAATTTTTAAGCCAAATTCTGGCCTGAAAAACACTCATGGCCACGTCTGTTTTGAGGCAAGAGAGGGAAAGGCTGGGCCCTGTCACCGCTTTGGCTTTGGCTAAAGGCAGCGAGTTATCCGCTACCAGATGCGCCACGAGAAGAGACCGTGGCGAGCTCGGACGCGCCAAACTCCCGCAGCCTTCAGCGCCCAACCCAGGCAGCGTGCCGGCCCTCGGGACACCGGGCCGTCCCCAGGAGACCGAGGTGCTGCGCGGCCATGCCCATCCCCGAACCTCAAACCCACCCTGGGGGCCCGTGGGCAGGCAACAGCCTCCAGAACTTCGTGGTTCAGCTTGGGTTATTGGAGCAAGGGGCTCAAGACCTGCTGCCCTGTTTGGCATTTGCCATTTCATTCTCTCTCTGTTGGGCAGACGCGATTGCAGCTCCCGGCTTGCTTGGGGCAATGAAAACCAGGCTGCAGGCACGGCCGTGCCTGGGCTTCGGGGTTGCACGTGCGAGAAACCCGGGAAAGGGCCTGGTACAGACAGCCATGGCCACGGCTTCTCCACCGGCCTCTGGCAATGGTTTCCTTAGTTGAGCACCAAGCGAAGTAAAGCAAAGCAAAAAAGTCACCATTTTACCTTTTTGCCTGGGATGCCGGGCTCACCCTTCAACAGCAGCACATACAGAGAAGAAAGAAGTTTAAGGACGTAACAGAAAATAAGATCACTTGTATGGATATTCAAAATTAATTGTAAAATTAAAATACTCAGCTTGTCTCGACCTTCTTTATCCTCCCCCAAACGCAAGAAAGCGCATCCCCACAGCACAGTGGCTCCCAGCCCCCTGGGCTCCCTCCGCCCCCATTTCAAGGTTTTAACACGGGCAGTGGTTTTGCGTTCTGCGTAGGTGACATCAGACATTGCAGCCCCAAGTCAATGGCTAATTCAGTACCTTAGAAATTCTGCATCTGATCAAGACAGGTGAGTACAAGTCCAGCACGAACCACGTATGTTCATCTCCGCCCCCTCCATGCAGCAATATTTCAAGAATTTGTGTTAAAATTAGACAGGTAAGAAATTACTTATCACCCACCTTTGGTCCTGGAGGTCCCCGGGCGCCCTGTTGAACGCAAGAGCAGTTGGGATGCTTGTTTGGCAGCAGAGTAGAACAGGATAAAAACATTGCCAAGAGTACTTTAATCCCCATGAGGAAAATGACACAGAGGCCAACTTCTCACTTCCCTTACCAATATAGCCGCAAGTTCTCTGCGCTCCCAGCAAATAAGAAACATTCATTCTTTGACGGCTCGTGCATTTTATGTATGATGAGCACCTTTTCATCCAACCTAGCCCTTAGTAAATCGGAGTTACAATGCCCGGAGGCTTCAGAGGGGCAGAAGTGGGGACACGGGAGCAGCACATCCCCCCGGAGAGCCAAGGGGACAAAGACCAGCCCCTTTTCTCCCCAGGGCACAGCTACCCCTGGACAAAGATCCATTTTAGGGCATCTGTAGTTTCCCATAGGCTTTTTTTGGCCTCCAATGACCCAAACCCACTCGCTGCAGCGAGCTGAAGGGTGATGCGAAGTGAGGGGCACGCACACACGGACGTTTCTGGGCAATACTAACCACGAGGCCATCCTCTCCTGGCTCGCCTTTGAAACCCTGCGAAAATAAAAAGGCCAACATTGAAACAATCATCCTTCATTCTCCAAAACGCTCACTGATATTTAGGACGTTCAGTAGCATTGAGTTGCAGCCTGGTTTTTTCTTAAGTGAATTGCCAGTGACTTGCAACAGGTCATCTGAAGGCTACAGAGCAGGGAAGAGATCTCCTCTGGGCTCTCTGAGTTACGACTAGCACCCACAAACGCATGCTTGAGGTCCCGCTCTTTGCTCCAAAACTGAAGATGGAAGGCGCCCTCCTGCTCCCGTGGTCCCACGCCCCAAAGCTTTGCTGTACGAGTGGCCACCAGAGCCCAACCGCTGGCCCAGGCTGGGGACGCAGCGGCTGGGAGGGCAGCACCGGGGAAGGGGACACCCTTCACCCTCCTCTCCCTCGCTCGGCCAGGGACTGCCCGGCACATGCTCGCTGCGCATCTCCCGTCCTTACAGAGGGGCCTGGAGGTCCTCGTGGGCCATCTTTTCCCGTGTCACCAGGAGGCCCCCGAGCACCTGGGGGTCCTGGTGGACCAGGAGGGCCAGTGGCTCCATCTTGACCTTGATCGCCCTGGAAGAAGTTCACACAGACATGGTGAGATGAAGCGGCGTTGGCAAGCGGTGGCCGCGGGGTGCTGGTGACACATGCACTGCGTCCCTGGGCCAGCAGCACCCTGGCCTCCACTGTCTCGGAGGAATTTAATTACAGCTGCCAATTGGGAAGGCTGGGAGCTCACGGCCGCTTCATGCCCTTTGGGTCTGGTTCCTTAACCAGGATTTTGCTCGATGCCTTCCAGTGAGGTTTTATCTCATTAAGCCCTTGCCCAGTGACTGTGCATGGAAACCACCATTCAACAGCACCCAGAAACAGCTCAGACCCAACGACATGCTGGCACGGAGCATGCACACACCTCCATGGCTTAGTGGACTACACCAAAAAACTCACAAAAAAAAAAAAAGTAGTGCTTAGTAGAGTCCTTTAAATACAGCCAAGGTCATACGTTACCATCCAGCTTGGGTGCAAAGCCAAAAGCAGCAGCTCTATCTCCATGTGAGCGTGAGGCTTTGGTAGGTGCCTGCTCCGGAGGGGAGCGCCTGCGGGACTTCGCCGCCCAGTTTCGGCTCCCAGCCACCGGGCACGTCCAGGCGGCCGCACAATGGAAAGCCTCACGGAAAGGCCGCCTCGTAAATCTTTTAGCAACATCTGGAAGGGTTACCACCGAGGCAGTGTGGGGGCTGGATTTAATATGTGGTCCACCCTCAAATCAGGGACAAGTGTGGAATTTTCAGAAGTCCTTAAGTGACTCAGCAGCACAAACCCCACGGCCTTTCAACGCGATCTGTGCTCCTAAATCACTTGCATAGTTTTTAAAGAAAATCCTATTGCAAGCGCTGAACACTGCGCCCAATTACGTCAAGAGTCTCCCAGTGAACGTTGGCTAATTAAAACGTCCCGTGTAGAGCACGAGGATTTAGACAACCTTAATTTTAATGCATTTTATTTTACAATACCATCACTGTTCATATGAACATTTATAGGACTTCACTGCTTGATTCCCAATTCTCACAAAGGACCAAATGCTAAGCCCCATCCCTTTCACGTCTCTCTACTTTGACAAAACTCCCCCTGAATTCCAACGGGGTTTCACTCGAGCGCGCTCCCGACGGCCACGGCAGTGACAATTTGAAACAGCAACAGCGCACGCTCAGCCAGAAAGAACAAACACAAGCAACTCAAAAATCACAGCAAACCAGTGGCAGCAGATCCGAGACGTCTACCTTGAGCACTCGCCGGCTAAAGACAAGCTGATCGTTAGCCAGAAATCCGTGATTGAGCCGGGGAAAAACCATCTAGCCAGGTAAAGTGGGAGGCAGAGGAGGAAAGAGCAAGAATTTCAGATGAAAGCACAGCAGAGGAATGAGTGGTAAAGGCTGCAACACTATACAACAACTTTTCTTCGATAATCAATTGATGCACGAGGAGGAGGTCTTCTAGGCAGCCAGCAGCCGTTGTGTTAACGCTGCGAACGCCCTGGGGCTTGGTGAGCTGTAGGCAGGCGCGGGGAAACAGGAGCCTGCTGCACAAGGGGGCACTCACAGCAGCTGGGGTACAGAGGGTCCCCCTGCTGCAGGGCTTTCTGCAGAATAACCAGCGTTATTCCAGTAAACCCCACAGGGAAAGTGTCCCAGCATCTCCTCCGAGACCAAATATATTTTTTTTCCCAGAGGCTACACTGAATCCCGATGTTTTCCCCAGCCTGCAAACTGCAGACAAATCTCCCAGATCCCCATGATGCACAAACAATGCGTTCAGACCGTGTCAGAGCCATCGCTATTGTCCTTTAGCCTTTCCACTTCTCTGTCGAGGGAGCAGCAGTGGGACATTTCCTTTCTCAGGACACTGCGTGCGTCTCCCTTTCCCCCCCGTCCATCCCTAGGAGGACCAAAGGGATGGAGCAAAGCCACGAGAAACCCCATGGGAACACACAGCACATCCTCCGTGAGGATTTTGGAAGGTTTCTAAGGAACAAACCTCTTGTCCAAATTGTCCAGGGAGCTTTTAAACCTTTCACGCAAATAACAGACAGCCCCAAACAGCAAAGCTGGGGTGAATATTGCAGAGGGAAGCCCACCTCCTGCCCAGGCTCCCAGGACAGGCTGAGCAGCAAGCGTGCACAGGTACATGGAGCACGGATGCTTTAATGCAGTCATCTCGGAAAGAGAGGGGAAAAGCAAAGTCAGGTATAAAAAAAAATAATCAACCCTAAAAAATTAACCCAAGAATTTTTTTCAAGCTGTAGAGAGAGGCTTCAGCTCAGCCTTCACTTAAATACAGCCATTTGGGCAGGAACAAGGCTGAAATCCTGAGATTTTCAAAAACCAAGATGATGCCACATCAAAATTAAGGGGGGCACAGAGCCCCTGAGCTCGGCCAGACCTTGCAGATACTACAGAAACCACCCGAAGGGCTTTCCTGCAAGCAAAGGGGGCTGTGGACCCAAAGGACCTAGCTTTACGGCTTCTTATGTCATGAAGATACACAAGAGCATTAAGTGGGATTTTCAGAAGAGCCCAAGGAGCAAGACAGGACCTGAAACTTGTTTCCCATCCCTCAAATTGCTGAGCACCATCCAAGCGAACACCTCCCAAGCCCGGCCCTATCTGTCTCCATCCGAAATGACAATTTGCATTTGCTCCGAGGCCAAACACACCAAATATCCCACCAAACCCAGCAGTCGCACGTTTAGTTTTACACAGTCCCTGTTACAGATGGGCCCATGGAAAGTGAACAGCCCCGAGGGCTATTAAATACGGAGAGACATCTCTGGCCCAAGGAACGGCCAGGCCGTGGCAGGTGGGCTCCAGGAGAGCAGGTAGGTGTGCTGGAGCTGCTCGGCCCTGCTCGCCTTTCCGCTCTCCCGATGGGCACAGGACCCTGCGCTGCCCAGCCTTCGGGTCCGACCCCGCGCAGCAACAGAGCCTTAGAGCACAGAAACCTTGAACGCTGGCCATTTCCAGCCTAAGAGTACTTGACTTAGCCATTTCAACATAATGTTCCAGAAAAAGAAAGAGGGGAAAAAAGAAAGAAAGAGGGGAAAAAAGAAAGAAAGAGCCGAAGACGAAAGATGATTCTGCCGATGCCTGTGGAAAGAAAGAAAGAAAGAAAGAACGAAA